TTTCGATTACAAACATAACGATACATTCACGATAGATGATTACAAATATTTTTTCTTTCCAATACAAACTTGTTAACTTGTAAATATTTTTATTATCAATAAAGCATCACAATGTATTCATAGTATTTTTTATAATATTTTAATGATAAGATTTCTTTGCTACTCACGTGTCACTATAACTATACAGTTTATTTTTTGTTTTTTTTGGAATACTTGCTATTTGTTTGTGTGTTTTGGGAATTTTCTGGAATTTCAATCTGTGCATGGGTACGTTTGGGTTGTCGATTGCTTTTCAAGTTTGTGAGAGGTGTCCCGACCAAAATTTTTGATTTGTAGTTCTTGGTCTTCTTGTATTTGGCCAACCATTCAGGGTCAGGGACAAAAGCATAAGGTTCTTTGAAGAATGATAATACGTTATCGTCCATATCGTTTTTCTTATCATAGAAATTCACATCTCCCTTGATGACCGCATCTAGTTTTCCGAGTTGTTGGTGAATTCCTTTTATGGTATCAACATATCTTAAGTTTTCCCCATTCTTGCTTTTAAGCCCGAAGAATTGCATGTAGTTTATCTCATGGGTAAAATAGATCGCGGCCATGGGATGCTTGATGTGGATCCAGTAGCAGTTCTTTCCACGGTATCTTTCCAACAAAGGGTTGCTTTCGATGGTTTTTAGAGTTTGCAAAAGGTTTAGAAGGGCCATCGGAAGCACATCATTTGGTTTGGTTTCACTATCTGCATCTTTTTCCTCGGTCTCATTGGCATTCACAAGCTCGACATCTCGTTGAAATCCACATGATTCTTTCTCGTCAGGTACACGCAGCTCGACAAATGAGCGCATGCCACAGTATTTTTTCTCCTGTCTTACAACGATGTAGATATGCACAATTGATCCGGCAGCGATAAGATCATTGGCGGCCTTCTCGTAGTGACTGATCATATTTTTTATCTCCTGTCCACAAATCTCCTGGGTTTCCATAGATTCGCACCCTTCCAAACGTTCGTAGATGGATCTGTTTTTTGAGAAATATGATACATTCTTACAGGTTCAAATATCAATATAGTAGCTGTACTGACCACCGGATCTCTTTGCATAATTATTTTTTGAGTTACCCTCATCGTAACCTGATGGTGTTACATATTCGTAGTTATCAAAATCCATTTTTTAATTGGTTCAAATGTTTATAAAAGTGACGATAAAATTATCGTAACGGAGTCAATTTTATAAGAATTGAAGTTACACATATTATATCACGTGAAGTCATCATAAAATATTAATACATCATATTCTTGATTTTGAATTTGTAGTCTCGAGTGATGGATTATCTTACCAGATATCCACCAGAGATTCTAACAAACATCATCGGAAACGATTATTATGTTTGGTTAAAACTACGAAAAGTGAACAGGAGTTTATACCATTTTACCACAGCATATGAAAAGCCATTGAAAAGCAGATTCAAACAATGGGCTCTTCTCGCATATCTAAAGTTTACAAAATTGATTTTTAAAGAAAATAAAGAAATCA